TGGCCCCTGAAAACCCTGCCAATTCCACCCACCTCCTGTGTCTTCTCTGCTTCGCTGGCTGCACGGCCTCTGGCCCCAGGTGTACTTTTAAAACCCAAGGAGTGTGGGTGTTAAACTCACTTGCAGCCTTCGCTGTGGGCTCCCACAGTGACCCTACTGTGGAGTGGGTTCAGGGTTCGTGAGGAGATTCTGGGTTTGAAAATTCACCTCCCAGTTTTCTTTTTTCTTGTTCTTTGCACCCTCCATCCTCCCCCTGACATCTGTCTTGAGGAGAAATTCCTGTGAGGGTTGGAGGGACCCAGACTGAGTAGCTGCAGCTTCTAGCTGCTCTGGTTCAGGCAAGGTGCGGGGTAGTTGGAACGAGGCTTGTCCTAATTCAAGAGCAAGGCCTGCGAGTGCCCCTATTCAGCTTCCCTAGCATTCTGAGAGCAGGACCCACAGCCTGGGGCATTGTGTCCAGACACCCCAAGGCAGGAGTTCCTGCAGTGCTCACCTGCCTACCTTTTGCTCCAGGCATTAAGGAAATCCAACTGGCCACTGCCTGCCTTAGCCACTCCCCGCAGCTGTGCCAGGCAGCGACTTCACGCACACACACTCCCACCTTGCCTGAACTTGGCACAAATCAGCCTTGCTCTTTCCCCCAAGGCCCAGGCTGCCCCCAACCGGTCCCGGCTGAGTAAAGCCCCTCAATCCTTACCCTCTCCACCCCAACCTAACACACATACACAGACTGCATACATACCAGTAGAGTAGTTACTGAATTTCTTTTTTAAACACCAACCTCCCCAACCCCTGTAAACTTTTACCAAATTGGGTAGAACACTACTTGGAAAATTAGACCAAACATACGTTAATTTTTTACGGGATGTTTCCCCCCTAAAGTAAGCAGGCTTATCTTCCTCGTCTGAGCAAAAATAATTTTCACAAACCCAAATGAATGTCTTTCGGAGCAAATTGCCTTGAGATTTATTATCTCCTTCCTTCATTGCCCTTCAAAAATGTGCGTGTGCGTATCTACTTCCCCTTCCTTTGCATCTCTGGTCTTCCTTTCTCTTCTTTTTCCTTTCCTCTTTTCTTACTTCTTACTTTCTTCCCACAAACCACATGTTCGTTTTGAGAACACGCTTATACGTTTCAGGCTGCTCCCTCAGCCTGCAGGGGCAAACCCTCTTTGGCTGGCCTACACCGGATTTCAATGCGGCGCCCAGATCTCTTCCAGTCCCTAAATCCGAACCCGTCCTGACTGATTTTCCGATGGAGAGAATAGCGGCGCCAATGCTTTTGACAAATAACTGTGGGGGGCCTAATGACCGTCGCTGCAGCAGCGGCTGCGATGGACCATGGGTTGAACCCGCGCATTCACCAATCCCGTATCATCGCTTTCGGCCCGGAAGCTCAAGATCAGGAACCTGGCATTTTAATTTCCTACTCGGGAGCATGGGGCAGCCTTTCTGTGCGATTAAGGGTTTCTAGGCGTTTTGGCGGACCTCTGACTGCTTCCTGAGAGTCACGCCGGGGCGGGCGGGTGGCCAGGAGCTTGCCGGCTAGTCCACACCAGCCTGCCGGAGCCAGCCCTCATAACAGGGTAAAAAAGGCCTGGGTGGCAGGCGCCAATCCTCTCCCCCCACCAGATCAGGGACATTATTTTGTAGAGATCATAATTTCCTTTTAAGATCTATGACTGGCTGGAAATGAAGTCATCCTTTGGAGGGGCCCTGAGAAGCCCAGGGGCCATGAAACTCTTGGGGCGGTAGGGGCCCCAAATGCTGAGGCTGCCGTGCTGAAGGGAGTTTTTCGGCTCAGAAGCCTCCAAGTCGGGACTGAGATTGGGAAATACATCTATGCATCCAAACTAGGAAAGCCTTCAAGGGAACTTGCGTGCTCTACCCAGGGGGCACAGCCAGACTGCTGTTAATTCCACCTGCACGAAGAAAGTGGGGACAGAGGAGGCCAGGAGGCAACAGCAAGTTATTTTCTTTCTTTTTCAAAAATTTTTTTTAATCAACCCTTAAGAATCCAGGTTGATTTTGCACGTACACAAATATAGTGGATGGATGCCTCGCTTGTGTACAAAATGTTCAAGAGACTCCCTAGATGATTTCTGGGTAGTGTGTCAGCTTTGGGAAATGATGCTGCCTCCCAAACCCTACAGGGCCAGAGCCCTCGCCTTTCAAGACCCCCGCCGAGTTACACCTTTTCCAATTAAAGTCTGTACCGCGGCCAAATTCATACCAGGACTTTTCCGCGCATAAGCCCCAGACAGGGGAAGTGGCCTGCGTGGAAACGCTCCTCCAGCTTCCACAATTGGGGACGGTGTGCTGCACCTTCCGAAGGAACTTCAGAAAGAAGAGAGAGGCCCAAGCCTTGGAGATGGAGGAAGAGTCGCTGGAGTATCGATCTGGGGTGTGCTCTTAGAAACCCGTCTGGGAAGCCAGGAATCACCCGCATTCCTACGACCTGTTGCGCGCAGTTCTACCGAGATCCCGGCTGGCTCTGAGCCTGAGAAGGTCTGACGGCTTGTGGGCACCATCGGCTGGGGATCCTCAGCCAATATCGCCGTCCTGGAGCTCCTAGGTCGGACTTGGTGACACACACCAGGAGAAATTTAGATTCCTTAGGTCTTTGGAAGTGGTCCAGCTGTCTGGAACCTGCGGATGCCCAGTCAGCCCCCTCTAGGTCTCTGGGGACCTCTGGGCGCGTCTTGGTGAAGGACCTAGCTAATTCTCTGCCTGCACAGAAACGCAGAGCTCGGCAGGGGAGAGGCGGGAAAGAGAGAAAATGAATCGCCTCCGACCCCAGGTAGTCTTCTGGTCTCCAACTCCCCACACAGACTCTATCTGTACATTTTTTATAGCAAGTGGCGGCTGGTTTATGGATGCACCTACTGAGCCAGCCCTCATGGGCACTTGAGACCCCGTTCAACCGGCAGTACCTGTGGTTCAAGAGTCTCCTGGAGGCCTAACTTACAGAACCCGGGAGGACGAAGTCTTCAGCAAGCGCGTCCCGCACTAATCTGCCTGCTCTCAGGGGAGGGAATACACGGCAGAAGAGCCTGGAGACCGAATCCTCTGTTCAAAAGCAAATGCGACTCAGCCCTAGACTTTCTTTAATTGCCCACAAGGTCCTGGGGTTCCTTTTAGCTGAGAGTTAAACCTACATTTGCCCCTTTAAAATACACGTTAGGCACCTCTTTCCCCCAACAATTACTGCTGACCCTAGAAAGTGCTCGGTGGGACCTGCTCAACCTTTTGGAAGCAAAAAAAATCCTGAAAAGGTTTAGTTCTTAAAGTGTTTCCCCTAAAATTGGCTTAGGAAATAAGGACACAGATGTTCCTGGCCCTTGTCATCAAAAGAAATTGAGAAAATTTTCCCCTTGACAAATTGAATCATTTCACATAAAACCAAGTTAAGCACAACTTTACTTCAAGTATCTTCTCTGCTTTGTACTGTGGATGTACATGTTGCCCCCCCCCCCATGGGTCCAGACATTTTCCAGAGCCTCCAGAGACCTGTCTAGGCTGTTGAGAGGGTCAACCTAACCTTTTGACAAGGGCAGCCTGAAAGCTTGTCCGTTTTCCCCACTTGTGAGTGGGTTTTTAAAGGGGCAACTCATGGACTGTTAAATAGCTATATCCCCCACCCCATCTTGCCTTCTGAGTTTGCCTTAATTAGGGGGTGGAGAAGTAGGAGGCCTGAGTCCAGGTCAAAACTGTCAGAGAAGGTGGGGGAAGGGGAGGAGGGGGTTGGAGAACTCCAGGCGCAGAAAAAAATTCAAAAATTGTAAAAGGAAAAGGGGGAACTTGAAGCCCAGAAGTCATTGTTTCCTTTATTTCAAAGGGAAAAACCTGCCCGATTCTCATCCTTTTGATTGATTAAGGCCCTGAATACCTCCCGGCCCCGGAGTGACAGTCGCTGAATAGACTCCAGCGAATAAAGCGCAGTGCGGCGCGCGGGGCTGGCACTCAGGGGTGTAAAGGAGGCGAGTTCGCTGGCACTTACCAAGTTATACATAAAAGGCTATGCACAATGGTACCTTCTCTAAGGACAGACAGTCTTTACAACACTCCTGGCGTCATATCCTGCTGGGGACACTTCAGCTCCTAGCCAAGACTTCGCTCCTTTTATTTTTCCAGCAGTTTAGTCTGAATGCCATAATAAATTCCTGAGAACAAACGCTGCAGCCAGGCAAAACTTTAACGTATAGACGCATCTCTGTCAAGGCTTTGGGGATCTATACGTAGAGATTTAGAGCCCTGGCTTCTCAGAGGGGTTTGTAAGAAAGATGAAGAGATGGTTTTCTCTCCCCAACACACGCCCCCCCCCCTTCAACTAGCCAGTCTTGGGGCCTAGCCTCCGCTTCCTGCCTGCAGAACCAGAAGACAAAAGCACACCCTGGCCTCCTCCAGAGAGGAACCCCACGGGGGCGGGGGGGCTGTAACAAGCGTAGGCCAAGGGGCACTGACCAGAGGAGGGGAAGCCAAACATTCTGGAGCCCAGATGCCTTCTTATTGGAATTGCGCCCCCTCCAGCGGCAGTAAGCCTAGAGAAAGAGAGAGAGACAGGTAGAAAAATGAGACATACAGATACAAAGACACGTGGAGAGACAGAATGAGAAGAATAGAGTCGGAGACAGCAAAAGACACACATGGAAAGAGAGAAAGAGCAAACCCAGGGAAGAGAGATCAGAGCTACGTATAGGAAGCGGCAGCAGAGGAAGACAGCCCCTCTCCACCCTCAGCAACTGCCATCTCCCTGCGACTGTCTCAGTTTCCACGGGTCCACCTCTCTCTCCCCGGGAAGGGGCGCAGCGAGGGTCCCTCTCTGGGCAGAAGAGGCCTCAGCACCATCAGGGATGGGAAGAGAAAGTGGCCGCTGTCGCCCAATCAGCGCGTGTCTCCGCCACCCGGGACGGTCTCCCCGTCGGCCAATCGCAGCTCAGGGCTTCTGACCAAGCTTTGGGTGAAAGAACATAATAAATGCTCCCAAGGCCGGATCCTTGCACTCGGTGTCAGGACGGAGGAGACGCAGGCAGGCCGCGCTCCCGCCTCAGCCACCCCTCCGCTCATCGTGGAGCTCTGAGCCTCCTTTCCAGCGCCCCCAGCCGCGGGGCCATCCACCCAGACTCGCACCAAACTTTTCCGCCCTGGGCTCTGGATTCTGGACTCTGGGGCCTCCTTGCCCGCCCCTTTTCTGGGTTCTATCTTCAGCCTCTCTACTAAGAGCCGGCAGCCCCCCTTCTCGAGTTCCTCCCTCTCTCTCCAGCCTTTTTTGGGGAGGGGCTCTCCACGCTCCGGAGAGTTCCCAAGGGTCACCGGAGTTGCGCTGCCTTTCCGTTTCGCCTTCACCTGGATATAATTTCCGAGCGAAGCTGCCCCCAGGATGACCACGTTGGCCGGCGCTGTGCCCAGGATGATGCGGCCGGGCCCGGGGCAGAACTACCCGCGAAGCGGGTTCCCTCTGGAAGGTAAGGGAGGGCCTCAGCGCCTCCTGGATGTTGGGGTCTGGGACCGGTTGTCCTGCTCCAACCCCAGGCTCCACCGACTCCTTCTGTGCATCCAGGAAGCCCATTCCAGGCACCCGCTCCCCCAAGAAGCAAAAGTGGGGCGAGGCCCCACTCGATTTCTTATTCTGCAAACGAAGCACAGAGCTCTCTGTAATTTTCGGGGAGCTAGGCCGCCAGGCCTGCACCCTGCCGTCCACTTTCCTCTGTTTATTTGCAAATGCTGTAGTGGGAAATCGGGTGAACCAGCTTCTGCACACCAGAAGCAACTTCTGTGCGTTTTGTCCAGCCAAAGTTGATTCAGAAAGTCAGGCTTGGGAAATATTAGTTGGGGAAGAATTGTCACAGCTGCTCCTAGTTGCTTGCCCTGCAAAGTTGTGGTGACTAAAGCAGAGTGCCCTTGTGATTGAAATTTTCAGTATAAAATAAATTAAGTAGAATTCCTTTTATCTCAGAAAGCATCTCCTAGTTTCTATGAGCTTGTTTGGGAATCACTCAGGCAGCCTGAAGATCCTGGGAATCCTAGGGAGTCTGGAAGTCTTGCAAACCTGAGCCCTTCCAAAAATGTTGGGGGGTGGTGGTGGTGCAGGTGTTGATCCTGAGGTTCCTTTGGTCCCAGGTCCAGAATAGGAAGTAACACCCACAGCATGAATGGGGGTTCAGGCACCCACAGCAGATGGGCTGCTGTTGTTTCTGTTCCCAGGTGTAACAGGTGACATGCATTGCTCCTGCCACTTTCTATCAAGACCCTCTTTGACCTGTGAGTGCTGCACTCTTAGCTAGAAATGTAAAGGTCTATGAGCCCACCCAAGTCCCTTAGAAAGGAACTGATCCCATTTGGACAGGGTTTGATGGGAGCAGAGAACCTTTCTCTGCCAGGAGGCTGTTTCTACTACAAGATAGACTCTGTCCCAGTCTCAGGGTCCCCACCCCTCCTGAGTCTGAAAGGATGACAGTTCCTTCTTCGGGGCAACGTTTCTTTTATTTGTTTTGTTTTTGTTTTTGCCCTGCTTGCTCTCTTCACACAAGATTATATGCCCTTGAGTTGCTTAATAATTTGAACAAATGTGTTTGAAACAGTTCCCATGCTGAACATTTTGGGTGTTGGGACTGTAACATACCCATGGGGCTGAAGAGTGTGAAGTTAGGTGCTGCTGATTTCTCCTGCTGCTCTTTCTTTTCCCCGAGTAACTTTCTCCTTGCTTCCTTTTCACCTTCTCTCCGCAGTGTCTACGCCCCTGGGTCAGGGCCGAGTCAACCAGCTTGGCGGCGTATTCATCAACGGTAGGCCGCTGCCCAACCACATACGACACAAGATCGTGGAGATGGCCCACCACGGCATCCGGCCCTGCGTCATCTCGCGCCAGCTGCGCGTGTCCCACGGCTGCGTCTCTAAGATCCTGTGCAGGTATCAGGAAACCGGCTCCATACGTCCTGGTGCCATAGGCGGCAGCAAGCCCAAGGTGAGCGCAAGGGCCTGGCCCTCTCGCCTCCCAGCCTGGCTGCGTTCCCCTAGGCCGGGAAAGTGCGGGCAGGAGGCAAGGGCTGACACCTGAGGTTCCAAGGAGTTATTTTTCAAGTCCCTGAAGGTGTGTTGTGTCTCCATCCTCCTTGATGAAAACTAAGAAAAACCTCCAGCCTGCTTGCAAAGGAAAAATAACATTTTTAAATGCCTCTGAACCTTGGAATTCTCATCAAATTATTTTAAGGGACAAACATCTAAGCATGCGAGTTGTTATGTGCCCACCTGTTGCAGAATTCTTCCCCTGAGTGCGTCTCAGCCTCCACTGTTTCCCAAACACAAGGAACCTCCTTTAGATTTTATTATGGTCTATCTCCCAATGCATGTCCTCCTTTTCCCTCAGTGTAAAATGTTTTCAAGGAGTCAAAAACTAGGATGATTAGTTTTCTTTTGAAAACTTTTAAAAAAGAAGTCTCAGCTGTGGCTGTGGCTCAGCAGGAGGGAGTCTGCCTTTTCTTCTGGATGTGAGGAAAAGCCAATAGAATATTCTGGCTAGCACTGGGCAAACACCAAGAGGGTTGTGGTAAACTGAAGACTTCCAAACACCTCTACTTATCTCCCACTTGCCCGAACCATTTCACAACCTTTCTAGGAATCTTTGGAAGCTTTTGGGGGATGGGGTGGGGGAAGGGAAAGGACTAGTCTCTCAAATTATCCATATTTATTATCCATTCTAATTAAAAAAAAAAACAAGTAGATAACCAAGAGCATTGTGCTCTCCACCTTACCTAACTCTGTGCCTCTATGGAGAAGTATCTGTTGGCAGGTTTAAGTTGATTTTTCAGCTCTTCTTTCAAGCATTCCTTTTTTGGTTTCATTTTTATGTTGATTCTGTGTTAGGAGTTGCCCTATTTCCAGGCATGAGAAAGTACACCTCACGCACCACCAAGATGTAGTAATTGTTCCTAATTTACTCCTGTTAATCTGAGCTAAATTGGGGAGGTGGAAGGTCCCCAAGTTGTGCTGGGGTGGGATGATTTCTTCTTTGCCACTCTGTAAAATAAACCGCTTTAGAAAGTTGGGGTTCTTTTGCTAAAAGGGGGACCTTCCCAGAAGGTGAAGAGAGGAGCATAGGAACAGGCCACGTCAGTCCCAGAGTACCCGGTACCAATGCAGACCTGCCTGTTCTCTTAAAGCAGGTGACAACACCTGACGTGGAGAAGAAAATTGAGGAATACAAAAGGGAGAACCCCGGCATGTTCAGCTGGGAAATCCGAGACAAATTACTCAAAGACGCGGTCTGTGATCGAAACACCGTGCCCTCAGGTACTGGGCCTATTAACGTTTCCCCGGAGGCACAGACGCCAATAGCTTTTACCCTGGCGGGTCGTCCAAGCCATAATCACCCCAATTATCGATCCGAGCTATTGGGAGGCGGCCTTTCCCAAGGCCCTGAAATATTTACGAACCAGACATTCTTGGCCTTTTCTGGAGGGAGGGGTGAACTGCTTGTCCTGGAGGCGGACCGCCGCTGAGGTCTCCCCAAAGAGGGTTTCTTTCGGGGAGGCAGGGCAGGAAACGTGAGGCAGAGGCCAAGCGTTTATTAATATTGATGTTCCCTTTTAAAGAGAAACAAATGTTTTGGTAACCCCAGCCGAAGAGAGATGGGGGCCCGCACCGAGCCAGCCAAACTTTGGATTTTGCGCAGAGGAGGGAAGGCTCGGGCAAGGCCGAGATTTTCCCCGAGAGTTCCAGGACCATCCGGCGCCCCCGGCAGCCCGGAGGAGGGGGTGAAGTGGAGGGAGAAGAGGGGCGAGTGCGGGGCCAGTGCGAGGGCGCACGGGAGAGTTTGTTTTTAATTAAAAGGAAACTCCCTTTTTCCCTCTGCAAGAACGATATATTTCAGAGCATGGGTTTGTTTACCAGACTGGAATCTGGAAAAAATAAATGGGAGAGAGTGCCTTTTCTTTTGATTTTTACAATGGGAAACGATTCTTCAGTCGAAATTTAAACCCTTTATAGTCTAAAGAAAAAAAAAAAGTTGAGTTTCAGGGGACAGGTCTCTGTTCTTCATTCTTTAACAAAAAGGCTGGGTCCTTGCCTTCAGGTGGGGAGGAAGGAGGGCACAGGGTGGCCTGGTGGGACAGTTTTCATAGATTGTAGACCTGGAGCACGGTCTATGGAGTTAAAAAGCAAAACGCTCCTTGCCCGGAACGAAGGGGCCGAGCTGAGGGCATTTCTTGGTCCTAACTTGTAGGCGCGGGTTTCTCAGGCTGCATCTCTGGGTCTTAGAGATAATAGGGCAGGGGGGGGACGGGGGGAGTTGAGTGGGAGGCTGAGAGGGACCGAGTGAGGTGGGGGTGCCCTGAGAGGCGGACGGAGCTTTGCTGGGCAGACTCGGGGCTGGGGGTCGCTGCGCGCACAGCCCCGCGCTTCTCAGTCCTCTGCGCTTCCCTTTCTCTTTCCCTCCCCGCTCCTGCCCTCAGTGAGTTCCATCAGCCGCATCTTGAGGAGTAAATTTGGGAAAGGTGAAGAGGAGGAGGCAGACCTGGAGAGGAAGGAGGCAGAGGAAAACGAGAAGAAAGCCAAACACAGCATCGACGGCATCCTGAGCGAGCGAGGTAAGTGGCGGCGCACTGGGCAGCGCCTTGGGTTCCGGGCCTTTGTGGGCATCGTCTCCCTGATGAGGTCCTGACCCAGGCCGGGTCGAGGTCCTTCCTGGCTCATAGCCTCTGAACCCGGGTAAAGGAATTCAAGTGGAAGACCAGGAAGACACAATTAAAACGAAAATATTCTCTATTGTGTTTAATTTTCTATGTCCTAAATCTTTCTTCTGTACCATTTCCAGCTACTCAGAGTCTAGAAGTGTCAATTGCGCTGAGGGGAGAGGGCACCCTCTTTCCTTTAGGTGTAGGGACTGGGAATCTCCAGCCATTAAGGGGCTGGAGAGAGAGGGTACTTGAGTCTTTAGAGATTGAAGTAGCTTTTGCGCCCTCAGGAAGAGCCCTGGTGTCCAGCCTTTCCCACACCAAAGGAGAGAGACAGGGAATTCTTTTGGGCAGTGGACCCCAAAGTTCTCCATGTTGGCTGCCTTATGAATGTGTGTGGGTTGCCTGTTTCTGACTTGTTTTAAATTGGTTTTCAAATGTCATGAGTTATAACCTGTGTGTGTCTGGGAATTGAAATGAGCCCAGGCTCTGTCAAATCTGAGGGATCTGGGATGGATCGTAGGGTCCCAATGCTAGCATCCTCTGTCCCCTATGGGTGTGGACTATCCACTCCTTGTTGGCTGTGGCCTGTCCCAACCAAGAAAAAAATCACCCCCAAGGGGAGCCAGAAGTGCAGCTTGCTTTCCCCCTCACCAGCTGCAAGCCTCTAACTTTAAAGGTCCACACACAGAGAAGGAAAGTCAGTGCAGTGATTGGAGTTGAAGCAGGAAGGGATCATTTCTCTGGAAAAGAGGGACTTTTTCTTTGGTGGCTTTGGCCTTAAAAATGTTGCACCTCTTCAAATTTAAAAATGATTAGGAGTGGTCGGCGGTCACACCCATACCTGGAGTTTCCACTCTTGGCATTTGGACTTTGGCAGAGATGAGTTTTGAAGTTGTCAGTTGTCCTTAGAGGGACAGCCGGCTCTCCAGGTGGGCCTATATGGATTACCAGCTGTGACCAGCAGTCTCTGCCCTCATCAGAGGAACACCAGGCAGGGCTTCTTTTACCATCGTTCGTTACCCAGCCCTGGTGCAGTTGCAGGCTATCTATGAAGCAGCTGCTTCACAACCTTGAAGGAAAACTTAGATTTGGATGTTATAAATCCGAACACCTGATTTCAAAGATAAATAGAAATGGAGATGTTCTGGTGTGCACGTCAAATCAAGAAAAGACACCCCAAACCATAGGCAGGCTGGGCACCAAGACAGAATATGCTATTGCTTTCCTCCCTTTCCAGCAGGAGCCAGCCCCACATGGACTCAGTCTAAACCCTTTTTGGGAGGGATAAGCTTCTGCCCTGGTCTCTGGGAAGGCGATTGAGCTTTTATTCCAGGCCTAGCTGCAGCACAGAAGTGCTGGGGAGGAAGGCAACGAGTCAGTCAATCCTAAACCAAACACATCCCTACGGGCAGTGGGGAGAAGAGCTCAGAGCGGTGGGAGAGGCTTGGGGGCTTTGCTACTTGTTGCTGGAGGCACTGGCGCAGCAGACGGCTGCTCCCTCGCAGTACAGCCGACCAGGGCCCAGGAGACAAAACGTCCCAAATGAGCTGGTCAAACATTTGTACAACTTTTCCAGCTTTTACAAAGAAGGCCTTCTCTACACAATCTACACTTGGAGATGAACTTGGGAGACAAAGCCTGGAGAGTCCATTGAAACTCACACTTTAGCTCGGCCCAGACAAAGCTCCAGCTCGGAGCAGCTTGATGTGAACAAAGGAAGGCAACCTTTTTATAATTCAAGGAGAAAAGAAGAGAAAACAGCACCACAAAAGGCCGAGAATAGACATTATGGGCTTGCAATGAGGGATGAATTATTCAATGAGCCCCAATAGCTGCTGCGCCAGGAAGTTTTATGGACTCTCCAGCGTGGAAAAAGTGGCCATTTCACCTATGAAATGTTTCTGGTCTTTTGGGCCATCTAGCTGGGCCGGTTGCCATTCAATGGCAATTGCTACCAGTTTTAAAATCAGAGTTTTCTCCCTAATGGGGGCTGTGCTGTTGGACACACACACACACACACACACACACACACACGCCTTGGAGGCTGAAGCCTAAATTAATTTGGGGTTGTCAAGGAAGATGCAGTGTCAGTGCCTTCAGTGCCTCTAGCTCTGTTCTGGATAAGCCCTGGAGGGCAAGGGGGGCCCAGAGGAAGGAAAGAGTGAGAAATAGTTAATCTGAAGTATAGCAGCCTCAAAAATTCCCCCGGGTTGTTTGGGCATCAAAAGTTCTAGGCTGCCCTGCTTGTGAAAGAGAATGACTGTTGTTGAAGGACTGCTTAGTGTGGGGGGAAGAGAAAGCTGACAAAGGAAGGACTCTGGGTGCCTTGACCCGAGTGGCTGCCCTTGCTGGAGGTTCCAGTCGGCGCGCTTGGTGGAGTGCTGCTGAGATCGACTTTCCAGGGACACCTTTGGTCTGGAGTCAGCTTGTCAGACACCAGGACACAGGGAAAGGGACACCCTGAAAGAGATCAGAACCATCCTCCTTTTTCTCTCCAGGGTTTGGTTTTTTCTACTAGACTCCCCGCTTTACCTTTCCAACTTTCCCACTTTCCCTTTCTCTCGCCCAATCCCAGAGCAGCGCAGCTTGCGGACCTGGTGCGCCCTCGCAGGCGCTCTTTATGGACTATACATCTCTGTTGGGGCCATCCTTCCAGCCTCCTAGTCCATGTGAAAGGAGACTTGGGCGGCCCACGAACACACAAGCCTTTGGCTTCCCCGCCCCCCGCTTGCCCTTGGCCCGCGCTGAGATGGGAGCAGGCGCAGCCGGGGGAGCCAAGTCCCGGCCGAGGCATCCGGGGCTGTGGGCACGGCCCGCGCTGCGGCTGCTCAATGGACGCCTCTGTTCCTCCCCCGGCTCGGCGGAGCGGGCCCGCGGGCGCCTCCACAATGGGCTGGGCCCCCACTTCTGCGCCCTGCGCCAAAGCGCCGCGCCGCCCCCTCCCCTATGCTCTGGCCGGCTCGAAGCTTAGCTCGCCGGGCTGCAGCCGACTCAATTGCCTCCTTTATGTCCTTCTCACTTTCATCTAGACACAGACCGCCTCCCCCTTCTTCTCTCTCTCTTTTTTTTCTCTCTAGCCTGAGGCTCACATTAGTGAAATTTCTGCAACCTCCCCCCATTTTTTTTCTTATTTTAAAGAAAGCCCTTAACACAAAAGCGGTGACTAATCAATAGAAACTGCTCCTTCATCATCTCCTCCTCCTCTTCCTCCCCCTCCTCTTTCTCCTCTTCTCCTCCTCCGAGAGGGTGACGCTTTTCCTGTTTGTCAGTTTTGGGAAACATTTTTGCTTTGTGCCGTAATGGAATTAGAGGACAGATGAGGACTGTAGATGGACACGCGACAGCGGGACTCTCGCTTAAATATTTAGATGCAACGTTACAATTACAGACTTGTTGTAGTGGCTTTGAAGTAGCAGCTCGGGAGTGCAAGGGGAGAGAGGCCAGATCGCCAAATTGATGTTTTGATTGGGACTGGAGATAGACTCTCCTCTCAAGCGAGCGTGGGAGGTTTGCAACAATTGAAAAGACTCCTACCACAGGTCATTGGGGACTTATGTTCCCGTAACATTTCTCCCCTCCTGTTTGACGTTTACGAAAAAGAGTGCCTCCTCCTTTTTAATTTGAGAAAGTAAAAGTGACAAAAAGTTTGCTTAAGTTTCCGTTTTGTTCGCAAGGTTAGGGGCTTCCCGAAATTGATATGGACGCTTTCAGCTTTTCAGGGAGGCACAGGTACGCGGTTAAAAATACAGACAAGTTTTAAAGGTGTTTGGAGGTATTTCATTTCCAGCGCAATCACGACACGGCCACTTTTATGATTAAGGGAGCGCTAAAATCCAGGGAAACGCAAGGCCCTTTCTTTCCGGAATAGTTAGCAAGCAACGAAATTTTGGCGTAATGTTGGGGGACTAAGGCAAGGGGGAAACAAACTTGCCCATAAATTAAAGTCATGGGGTATAGAATAATAGGTTTGTGGCCACTGAACCTTTATTAAAGTGGACGGCCCAGTCCACTCTTCGGGCCTATTTATCAGGATCATGAATTTGACCTCAACATCGTTTCTGGTCTTTAGAAAAAAATTCATATTTTCCGAAGTCCTTGCAAAATTCAACGAGGAAAAATCACTTACTTTTTTTTTTTAAGTACTGGAAATATCAAAACTTGAGTTAAATTAGAACGTTATTCTTTTCCTTAATGTAACAGTAATGATTTTCGTGCTGGAACAATTCGAAAGGCAACACCAGAGTTAGGGCTTGGAGCTTTTTCTTTTTCGCTTCTTTGGTTCGGTTGCTGTATGCTTACTTACTTTCTAGCCTTATTGAAAACATGCAGATTTCCTAATTAATGCTTGAAATTGTATGTTTATTTTGGGGTTTGATTTGATTGTTGATAGCACCGGAACGGGAACGTAGGGGCTTCAAGTGCATAATAATTACCGAAGGGTCATTTAAAAGTCCCCAGGGCTGAGCATTAAAACCCGCTCGGGCGGTGAGGCGGAACCAGCTAGTGCACCGCGGTTCGGGCCAGTGAAATATACAGAAATCAATCACGTGAATAGGAGATTTGCGACTAAATCCGATGGTTTCAACATCCACGCATACGTATATTTTGAGGACACATACAAAAAGAAATCCTTCTTATCCACAAGATTTGCTTACGTTTAAGCGTACATAAGTAAATGGCTGATGAAAATTAAAAACTGTAACAGCGACAAACAGAGGTAGAATTTGGCATGGGCTGGAACAGGGAAGGTTGAAGTTTGATGGGGTTCCATGACAGGTAACTTATTTATGCGGGTAAATAAAGATTAAAGAACCATTAAGAATGTACGTAGATAAGTAGCAAGACACTAAAAGGCAATTAAGCAGTCAGTTTAATGTCTTATCTCGCTAGCTGCGATGGGGTTGTTTTAC